AAAGAAAAAGACAAAACGATTTTCTTTTGTTAGGTAGTATTAATTCCCCCTTGGTTTTTCTTTGTGCCGCGGTTCTTTTACAAGGATTTTATTTTGAACCGGGTATAGTTATTTTTGTTTTAGGGGTAGGCAAACCTTGAGCTGTGATTTGAAATGAAAGCAATATCTCTCGACTTCGTTATGCCTTAAGAATAGTGAGTGCTTTAGTTGTGACACTTAGGCTAAATTTTTGACTCTTGTAGAAGTACCTTAAATTGTATGATTTGAACTTTGCTTAACTGCTTTGACTAGAGTGTCTTGATGAAATCCAATCTTGAGTGAGTTATGTGCCATGTGTGTGTGAGGTTTTGTATATTCTATGCATTGCATTTGATGTCTAGAACTTGTCCCGTGTGTTTGCAAAGCGAAATAGTAGTTTTGTTCTGTCTTGGAAGTGATATAGGCGTTTCTTTGTTGAGCCAGCTATATGTTATTACCCACCTAATTGTTATGTATCTTACTTAACCCCTTTGAGCCCATAATCCTGTTTTCTTTGGCAACCACATTACAAGCCTTACTCATTTGTTTGAATTGATCATCTATTTGAACTTTGTACCTCTCTTGAGCACTTAAATTATATGAACTGTGTAAAAGATGAAGTGTGGGGTGATTGGTTTTGCTTTTGAATGGAACTAATAAAATAAGGATAAAGGTGCAATGTTTTGAAAAAGTAAGAGCCACTTGAATTGAATGAGAAGAGAAAAAGAAAAAAAAAAGTAGTTGTAGTGTTGTGCAAAATATTTATTGATAGTGGTGGCTCTTGATGTAATTGTGCTTAAATAATTTGGGAGTTGATGTATATCGATGCGAAGGTAGAGTTATGGTTTGACATAAGTGTGGGGTTTTCATTGTTAAAGTGTATGTATTAAAGTGCTTAGGGAGATGTAGTCATTTTTATATCTAACTATATCCTACCCGTTCAGCAGCCTACATTACAACCAATTAAAGTCCTACTTGATCCTTGACTAAATGAACTCAATTAGTAGAGTAGTACACTACGGGAAAGCCTATGGTTCATCTTTTGTGGCATATGAATGTTGTTTCTGAGAGTGAGTGAATTTTTTCTAGCTTGAGTTCCTAATTGTTTCTTAAATTTTATGGTGTATGGAACTACTCTTTATTGTTGTGGTGTATGGAACTACTCTTTATTGTTGTGTGAGGGCGCTTGATTCTTGAAGGAAAGGTAATTCTTGACCTCTATGTTAGAGAAAGTGAGCTGGTTATAGATAATGCGTGGTGATGTTGAGTCAAACTTTGAGGTTAAGATGGCACGATATTGTACTTAATATGTTTTAAAGAGTTTTGGTGTGATGAGTCTTGAGTGTTGTTGAAAAGTGGCGTATTTAGGTGAAGTGTAATTGGATTGCTCAGAGACGAGCAATGGTTTAAGTGTGGGGTGTTGATGGTATGCTATAATTGCGTATTTTGTCCACTAATTGCACTCTAATTCGCTGCACTTTACTAATGTTTGAGCTTTAAATGGTATTAATTTGCACTAGGTGTGTACTTTATGCTTCGGAGGAGTAATTCCAAGTTAGAATGAGGTTATGGAGCTCATTCAAGCAATTATAGAGCTTTGAAGTCTGAGTAAAAGACCATGGAGTAAGTTGGGATTGTGTTCGAGGATCAACGGATAATAGTGCACTCAACAAGAAGAACGAAGAAGTGAGCAAGAGACCACCCGCGTGCGCGGCCGCGCACTGGGCGTGCATGATAAGCAGAATACTGACCAAAGTGCACAGCCATATGCGCGGTCACCTGATCGTCTAAAAAGAGGGTATCTTGGATTTTTAGAGCAACTTTTGTGAGAGGAAGAAGGAAGGAAGCAACGGAAAAGCAAAATACTTGATCCAATTCACTCAATACGGAAGTTTGTTTAAATTTGGAAATTGTAATGTCTTTTTGTTCTTCTAATACTCTTGCTATGAATATTTTCTCCGTTATGAAGTAATACACCTTAGGGTTATTGACGGATGTTGTGAATTGACTATCGTTTTGGGTTTTACTCTATGTTAATTGCTCGAATTCAGTGAATGTGTTATTAATTGAATTGTAAAGCTCATTGTAGTCTTACTTTAATCGAAAGAGAAGTGTTGCTGTTATTTGCGTTGTGAAATCTTATTTGGGTTGATTTTACGCCTATTCTAGGTAATCGAAAGAGCTGAGAGAGTTATCAATTAACCCAGTTTAGAAGAATAACCGAGAGGTGTTCTTTGAAAGAGCATTCATTCACTACTTTAGTGCATATGTTCATAGGACCTGCTATTAGGCTAATTAAAGGAATCACATTTATTCGGAAGAAAAATTTAAATCCGTGAAGTAAATTAATCATCTATTGAATCGAAGGAATCAATAGAAGTTAAGAATGAATTTAACACAGAGTTAGCCAGAACAATAGTTGATCACATATCTTGTCACAACCCTTACTACTCGCACTGATATTCCATCGTTGTTACTAATCATTAGGGTATCATTAGTTTCTACGATTGATAATCTTAGTTTTATTAGTAGTTGATAATAACGTCAATCAAAAGGTTTATTATCCTGGATAGTATTGAGCTGAAGATTTATTAGAACATTATTGAAACCAATTCATGTGGAGATGATTTAATACTATACTATCCTTGACTAGCAAGCCTACGTTTTATACATCGATTTTGCACTCATCAACTGATCACCAGGCATAGCACAAATATCAGTACCACCAAAACCATCAGTAGTACCAGAATAACCATGAGCAGGTGAATTATTAGGTTTAGTAGTCTCAACATGAGCAGCAGTTCTGCGAGGAGGAGGAGGTCCTTTGTTGAACTTGAAGTTTGGAGGAAAACCATGTAGTTTATAACACTTTTCTATGGTGTGCCCAGGTT